CATTCGATAAACATTCAAATATTGTTCAATTTAATTGATCAGGATTTTGTATTTCAGTTTTATCGAGTAATGAATCTAATTTGTAATTTGGTATTTTTTAAAAAAAACATTCGAGAATTGAATATATCGATAGATTTCTATTAATATGCAACTTTATTCTGATGCAACGCAATACATTCGATAAACATTCAAATATTGTTCAATTTAATTGATTAGGATTTTGTATTTTATTTTTGTCGAGTAATGAAACTAATGTGTAATTTGGTATTAATTTAAAAAAATTAGAGAATTAAATATATCGATAGATTAATGATAACGTTCAAATATTGTCCAATTTAATTGATCAAGATTTTGTATTTTATTTTTGTCAAGTAATAAAACTAATATGGAATTTGGTATTAATTAAAAAAAATTAAAGAATTAAATATCGATAGATTAATATTAATACGAAATTTTATTCCGATGCAACGCAATACATTCGATAAATATTTAAATATTGTTCAATTTAATTGATCAGGATTTCTTATTTTATTTTTATCAATCAATAAAACTAATGTGTAATTTTATATTAATTAAAAAAATTAGAGAATAAAATATATCGATAGATTAATGATAACATTCAAATATTGTCAAATTAAATTGATCAGGATTTCATATTTGGATAAACTAAAATGTGTAATTTGGTATTAATTAAAAAAAAATTAGAGAATTGAATTATGATATTGTTTTTGTTTTTCTTTTTTTGTGAAGAGGGGGGTGGAGGAAAATATCATTTGTTTTGAAAACTTTAAAACACACGCGTTGCATTGGAGTAAAAAAAAAAGGATAGGGAAAAAAGTGAGAGAAAAAGAAAGATAGGAGAATCTCTGACCTGCACCAATGCAATACAAGCTCGATTGTTGGTCTAGGCTTGGGTCCGTTATTGATTCACATTTGCCGCAGGCTCTACTGCCCTCCTGTTACCCTTTTCTTTTCTATTTTCTATCAATATATCTCTCATTCTCTTTTAATATCATCTCTATTATTTCTATCACTGTTTCTAAACTCGTTTGAAATCTATATCCAAAAATAACGGACCAATTACGATCGATTCTCTCTTTCGTGAAACAAATAATTCTTATTTCTATTGTATGTAACATTATGACGTTATTATTATTAATAAATTATAAAAGATATTCTGGTTACGTTTATTTTTATTAATCATTTTTCGCATATTTGATTAAATTTTCTTAAAACTATATGCAGTACGCGTAATTTTCGGTTGTTATTAAATGTACTTTAAACAAACAAATGTATTGTTTTTTTTTTCTATTGTAATATAAATTAAATATCGATCAATGGAGAGAGAGAGAGAGAGAGAGAGAGAGAGAAAATATTTAATTGTTCGATTATAAATATTTCATTTGTGGAACGATCTATTGATTTTTAATTTGGTTAATTCTTTTTACTATAATACATATATTTATGTGGTATATAATTTAAACAAAAATACTTTGAGAACACTTATAATATATTATATTATACTATATTAAATAATAATATATTAAATAACTATCCATTTTTAATTGAAAATATAGAATTCGATATCTCGATAAAGAATTGTTTTCATGATCAAATAAGTTTAAAATAAAAAACAGAAATAGAAAGAAAAGTAGAGAGAAAATCGGATAGATAAATGGATAGAATGATGAGTTTTCCAACAAACTGTTAGAATTGTTAAAAGTGTGTTGGTCAATGATCGTTTGTAAGAACACACAAATGCAAGAGAACGACGAGATGCAGTTGGAAATAACGAGTTGGGAATGTCATCGGTCTGGAAATTTTTTGCTCGACTAGCTTGCCTGTTTATCTTTTTGCTAAATCGAAAAAAAAATCAAACGACAACAACAATATACGAGAAATAGAAAAAATAAATAAATAAAGAAGGAGGGAAAGAAATAAGGAAGAGAGAGAGAGAGAGAGAGAGAGAGAATGCAATTGAGAAAAGAAAAGAAAAAACACCATAGAAAGACAAACGTCAGATGGAATTTATTATCTGCCGAGATGGAATTTCCGGAAGATCACGCGACACCCTTTTTTCGAAAGAGAAAATAAAAAAAAGAAATGCAACGTTAAGAAATTTTCCGCGTGTTAAAAGAGGATAACAGTTTTTACGTTGTAAACGACGAGGAAAATGGGTGAAGAGGGGGGAGGAGGATTATGATGATGATGATGATGATGATGATGATGATGATGATGATGATGATGATGATGATGATGAGAATGAGAATGGTCGTCGTTTTTAAGTCGTTGTTAACCCTTTACGATTGAATGTGCCATTAAATACACGTGTCGTGGTAACTCTCAACATTTTTCTTCTTATTATTATTATTATTATTATGTTTCTTCTTCATTATACGATCATGATCAAATCGTTTCTTATTACCGTGATACCTAGCAACCTAGATATATATATCTACACTATCAGTCAAAAGTTACAAAATTATTTCTTCTATTTCCATAAAAAATTCGATATAATTAAATCAATGTTTTGTTGTCAACGATCTGGATGTAAAAATTAATTCGGTTTCGTAATTAAATATTAAATTTGTTTAAAAACGAAAAAAAGGAATGTATTTAAATTAATTTCTATATTTGATATTATAAAATATTAACGCAAGTTCAATTATGTTTAAACAATTAACTGGTGACGTACGTAATGTTCTTAGAATATTTTCATACTATTATCATATCTAATTTTAATATATATATATATGTAAAAAGGAATATTACGTGTAATTTTATAAAGATTTAAAAATATTAATATATAAATTTTGTATTTTTTTTTGTTTCTTCTATAAAAAGAATATTTATTTTTGAAAATCATTTGAATAGAAGGTATTTATGTTAAATATTTCATTTGTGATTCGAATACATCAGTTAAAGGTTAAAAAGATACTCCGAATTTTTTTGTAACATCCATAATACTCTTCTACTACAGTCTCTACACTCACAATCAATTTAAACCAATTGACTGAATGAACTTTTTTATTAGGATAATATTTAGACAACTTTTTTATAAGAAATATAAGAAATAATATTCGATTAAAAATATACTCGAAAATAAAAAAAAGGAAAAACAAAAAAAAAGAAAAATTAATTACAATAACGTCCAGAGAAAAGATGCCACTTTTTTTTTTTTTTTTACCTAACATATTCAAAATACTTAAATTTATATCGTAAAAATAAATTTACGAATACTTATATTATTTTTCATTTGTTTTATTTTATATATCCTGTTTTATATTAAAAACTTTTGGTTGACAATGTATAAGTATACGTATCTAATTATCTAATACTAGTTTACTATAAAATAGAAATAGGAAAAAAAAAAAGAAAAAAAGAAACAAGTTGATAAAAACGAGGTAAGAAGGAAGGTCTTGTAAGAACTGGTAATAGAGACTTTAGCTTACGATCACTTTCGAGTAGGTATTTAAGTAAGTAAGTAAGTACCTAATTGTGTGTGTGTGTGTGTGGTTGTTTCACGTACGTTCAGTTAACGAGACATCGTTTAATTGGTATCCTTGTGTTATTCCATCTAAGGTTCCTAACGATTCGCGTTTTAACGTCTTTACATTTATCTCTATTCTTATATAACTCATTTGATTCGTAATCATTTATCACGATCAGGAAAAAACATTGCTTTTCTGTTTTTTACTTTTTTCTCCTTCTTTATTTTTTGTTTGTTTGTTTGTATCTTGACGAAAGCAAAACGATTGGAAAGTTTTCTAAGATTACGAATCAGTGAAATCTGTCAAGTAATTTGTACGTGGTAAATATTTGTTCGTTCGATTTAATTGTAAAAGGGTTAACCCTTAATGATTTCGGAATTATTTTAAATTTATTTCCCCATCAGGTCCATGTTATTTTTCGTACGATGAGAAACTGTGTATTCAACGTTTTTTATATATACACAAGTATAATAAAGAAAATATTTTTATATTATTCTTTAAGTGAAAATTTATATTAATACATACAGGGTGAACGTGACGTTTCAAAAAAAAATAACTGGTCAAATATAAATTGTATGAGAAAAAGAAAAAAAAAAAGAAGAAGAAGAAGGTTTCCCCCGCATAGTTGAACAAAATTATGAGGACTAATGTAACTTGTGAATGAAACTTTTTATTTAATGTACTTTTTTAATGAGACATCACATGGTCATAGTTATTGTTTTTAAATGGAATATCTAATTTTCTTTTTTTGTATTCTGATAAAGTGTCAAATTGTGCATAAAAAAAACTATCGTATATTATGTAAAGCCTAAAATGAATAATTATTATGATAACTCAGTAAATAAAAGTGCCAAAAATATAATTTTCGTTTATTTTCTATTAGTTTTTTTTTTTTCTGAATGACGATGAATAAAATTTTCTGATGCAAATACGAGATAAAAATCTATTTTTTTTGTTTAAAACTATAAACAATTTGTGCTTAGCATATTTTCTGATAATATGTCGAGATGCATTAAAAATAATGCATAATAAATAAATAAAGATAATTCCTTTTTTTCTTTCTCTCATTATCTTACTTCTTTCATCTATTTTTCTTGACCTTTTTTAGAATTCAACTTGTGCATATTTTTTACATCACACACACACATGCACACACAAATACACGTATACAAATAAAATATACAAAGAGATAACAATGTCGGGTTAAAAAGAATTTTTTCACGAGTTGTCTCTGCGATACACAAAAAACTTTTTCTTTCGTTACTTGAAATAATCGTAACAGCGTTCTATTCTCTTCTCTTATCGTTGAATAAGAAAACCGAAAAAGATAAAAAAGAAATAAAAAATACGCTGAAAAATCTTTCTCCATTACGAATGACGTGGCAAAGGGGGGGGGGGTTCAAAAAATATGAAGAAAGAAATTAGGAAGGAAGGAAAAAAAACGAATATTATATATTTTCTTTTTTTTTTTCTTTTTTTTTCTCATACTGAAAGATATTGTAAAGATTCGACGAAAACTATGGGGTAGGGGATGGGGTGAGTGAATGAATGTTCGATATGAAAGTACCAAGGAAGATGCGAAAATCTTAATCTTACAAAATTGAAGAATGGAACGGAGTCAAAGATTAAAATGGAAAGAAGAATAAGGGAAAAGGGATATAGGAATAATGGTTTCGAAGAAATTGCAAAGACATGCAATTAAGCTTTTTTTTTTTCTTTTTTTGTACTGAAAAAACAATTGGAAGAAAATTACTCGTTCGAGGAAAATTGTAATTAAATTTGTAATTAACAAAATAGTAATCGTAAGTTTAGTTGATCGTATATAAAAAATCATCTGCGTGTTTCGATTATATTAAAAGTTGATTATTCTTTTCTTATTTAAAAAAAAAAGAAATTCTGCCTTTTTTTGGAAGGAGGAATTTGCATAATATAATTTCAAACATGTTTGATTTTTGATTGGTAGTGTATAAATAAATAAATAATGATTAGAAATCAGTAAGAACGTGAAAGAGAATCAGGAAAGTGTACGACGAGATGTAACGAATATGGAGATAGGTTAAGGAGAAAGTTAAACGGTGATTATAGTTGATGATCGAAACGATGAGTACACCTGATCTATGGAATATCAAACGAGTACGAGTATGCGAACATATTGGGTCGATATCGTTGACTTCAAACTACTAACTTAAACGTCAACGTAAATTATATTTCGAATTTTCTATCGAGATTGATGATTATATAAATCTTGTATATACATATATATTTATACAATAATTAT